ATGCCCCCTGCTGGCCCGGGCTGCACGGGGGGAGGAGGGGCTCAGCACAGCTCCTACCCCCTCTCCCGCACGTATGCACACACCTCTCAGGGCTCCCGGCCGTTCCTTCGCACCTTCCTGCCTGTCAGCCCCCACCACACGCAGCTGAGCTGAGTGCCACGCGTGGAGACTGAGGACGGGGCAGACAAGCAAGGCCAAGAGTGCAGGCCCCAGGGTGGCTCTGGCGCGCCCAGACCACCTGCCCTTTTGCCCCCCACACACGCCAGCCTGCTGCCCTCCAGCTCCCAGAGCTGCGTCAGAGCAGAGACCGGCTCTGGGCCGGGGAGCAGAGGCCGAGCTCTGTTCCCTGTGCCTTTCTAGGTTGGTGGGGACTCCTGCCCACTTCCATTTTCTTATTTTGCATGCCCGAGATACAAGATTTAGGGAGCCTGTTTCGGAAGGACTGAGTGTCCGTGATGAACTCGAAGTGTGTAGCGCCACGGGGGCCCCGAGGGGCGCCTCCCACCTGCTGGCGTGGCGCGGCGTGTGGTCAGGGAGCCCAGGCGAGCTCCGTGGGTGGAAGGCAGCCGAGGGGGGCCGGTCGCGGGACGGTGCCTGTTCCGAACCGACACCGGGGTCCTGCCTCCAGGATTTCAGGGCATCTGAATGTGTGTGTGTGTGCGCATGTGTGTGATTTTGATATGAAGCGGATAATGCGATGTAAAGGAAACCATAATTCAGCCACTTGTGTTCAAACCTGTACATGTTTATCAATGGCATCTGTTGAGGACCTTCATTTTTAAGATGCAGAAATGTCTTAGAGGTTCTGATATCAAATAAAGTAAAAAGAAAAAAAGTGTGGTTGGTGGTGAGGCCCCGTAGGGAATGTGGCTAAAGGTGGCGAGGGAGGGCGCGAGGAGCTGTGCTGATCGCGTCGGCTTGGGACTGACTGAACGAGCGACGCCGGCCAGGCCCCGTCCGGCGTGGATTGTTTTCCCTGTTTCGTCTTGTTTTTTTCTCTTTATTTCTTTTTTTTTAAGTCATGCTATCCCAGAGGAGAACCAGTGATTTACTCCTAGATCGGCTCTTATAGAGCGGCCCTAGTATTCTGTCAAAACACTTGCTTCCATTTTCAAAGATAAAAAAAATCATTGATTACAAAATGGTGTCCGTGTTTGTTTCACCGCTCGCCGTCCTGCGGCAGCCCCTGCTCTGCCCGGTACAGCCTCTGACGGGGACAGCTAGCAGGCGACTTCCTCGCCAGGTAAGTGCTGGGGAAGGGGCCAGGCGGTGCCCGGGCCTGACCTGCGCCTGCCTGCTGCCTCCGCCAGGTGCGGCCCGGGCAGGTCCCCTTTATCATCTCGAAAGGGGGTGAGGGTTTCGTGTAGTTTGGGCCAGAGAGCTGACCTCATGGCCTCCCAGGGCGCTCACCCGGCCACCACTGCCACTGCAGTGAGCTGATTCTCGGAGGACCTTGAGCGCGTGGTTTTCTCCAGTGGAAGGAACTTCTCGCCTGCGATTGTCTTTGCAGATACTCGGAGTCAGTTGAGTCACCTGGCTCATTGCACTCCCCTTGTTTACACTCAAACTGTCTCATGACATTTCAGTGATTGTAGCAAAAAGAACCTCACCGTTTGCTTTTTCCAAGTGTTTGTAAACATGATAATAGTTGGGAAGCTTCCTCCCCCCACGCTCCCCATCCCTTCTAAAGTTGCTGTGGTCTGCAACGGCCGCCAGGCCGTGGGCAGCCCGCGGCGGCAGGAAGCACAAGCTGGCCCCTCTGTGCCCACAGTCAGCGGGGAGACGCGTGACGTGGCGGGTAAGACTGGCTGGTGTTCTTACTCTGGCTGCCTGGCTGCTCTGCCAGAAGACCTAAAAGTCACCATGTTCACCCCAGACAGCCAGGGGAAACTTCCTTTTTTAAAAAAATCAACTTCCCTTGCTGTACTTAGAGTTCTGTATCCAGAAAAACTTTGTTGGCTCTTAAGAATCTGTTAACTCTGAGTGGCCCCCTCTCTCCCAGCTGGCGTCTAGAGGCACCCGCAGCACTGCTTGGGCGGGAAGACTTGAGCACGCACCTCTCAGAGGAGCTCTGCTGTGGCCGAGGGTGGCCTTTGTTCCTTTTTCATGAAAAACGAAAGTCCCCTTGCACCACTGCTAGAGGGAGTGCATGCACAGGGTGTGGTCTTTGCAGAGAGAGGCCCCGCTGTTTGGCCACTCTGGAGGATTTTGCCCAGGAGCTAGTTGGACAGGTACCCAAGGACTAGAAGAATAAAAACTAGGCCAGTCACCGAGGGTTTGTTAGTTTGATGCGCTCGTGTTATAATAAAAACGGTGCAATTATTTATTGATTCATGCATACAAGTGCTGTGGGCCAGAGCGGCTGGGCATGAGAGGATTCACCAGAGACAGTGGGCAGCAGAACAGGCAGATCTGTTGAAACACTGCTGCTGAGGGGAGCAGCGGGCGGGACAGGAGAGGTCTGCCACGCCATGTGGGTCAGCTCCCTGGCCGGGGCTCGAACTCATGCTGCAGTGGCTGTGGACAGCTTCATGGTGCTGAGACAATCCCTGCACCACCAGGGAGGCCCTGTGCTGTCACTTGAAGTGATTTTTAAAAGCGTGTGAAATGGCAAACATTTTAAAAGTAGATTGTAAAGTGCAGTCAATTTCAAAAGTACATTTTCCAAAGTAAGCTGGTGTTGGGGGTAAAGTCCACTAAACCTCAAGGATGTAAAAGGTCAGAATTTCTGGACCGAAGTTCAGGCTTGGCTCCATGACCCCAAACACCGGTGAAGCAGGGTAACCTTCCCAGAACAGATTGTTCTTGGCAGACTGTCTTTGGAGGCTGTGTGCGTGTAAAGCGTGTATTTACACGTAGGGTAAGTGCCTCAAATGTGGCTATTAGCAAGCAGGAGTTATGGGTCCTTTTTATTGTCTTTTTCTGAATTTCTAAGTTTCCTATAAATATTTTTATGCCTAGAGAGAAGTTACTAACATGAATGAGTGATAAATGAATGACCACAACTAGCATCATCTGACAGTGTGGGGCGGGGGGAAGAAACGGGTACAGTGACATGAAGTGACTGGGGGCAGGAGCCCCACTGAGCCTCTTGGTGACACCATGTCTATTAGTGGAGTCAGTAGTTACATGAATTGAAATGAGAACTTCTTAAAAATCTCGACTCAAGACGAGAGACTTGAAACCCCAAAACAGTGAAATGAGTCAGAGGAAGAGACTGGCTACATAAACACTGAATTATATGAACTCTGAGTATGTCCAAACAATAGAAGGCCATGGAAACTGGGAAATCCATTTCATATCAGTAATATTTGTACATGCTTAAGCTCAGCCCTCAGCCTCCCCACTCCCCCCCTCTGTTTGAAACGGATGTGATCCTCCTCCCTGGTCAGGGTGACCAGTTGGACAGCAGATGGTAGTATTCCTTGTCCCTGTTTGCCCCTAGGAACTGAGTCCAGAGCAAATGGTTTATCACACGCTCAAGAAGTGGAAGAGGTTTGCTGAGAGACACTAGTCATAGCATGCTTTGGGAAAGTTCCTCAATTGCAAGTTTCTGGAGTAGGTGGAATGAAGAAGTGGAGAATGAGAAACTGCTCCACACCCCAAGGTACTCAAGGGTGGGTCCCTGCTGATTTTGTGGAGTGGGTTTGAAATGTGCAGAAAAATGAGTTTGAGAGAGGTTGGCGGCATCTTTGAAATTCCATGCAGTTTCACCTTATTGCATGGAAGTAAAACTGGGTGCAGAACCTGATTGCAAGAGCCTGTTAGTAAATGCCGGTGTGCGGCATGTTTGGGGAGGAACAGCCCTTTCTTTGTGGAGTCTTACATGGATCTCAAGACTAGGTGCCTGTTTCACAAGGGGTGCTGAGGGTGGCTTTGGAGCAGCCCTGGGGAGAGATGATTCAAGACCAGGCAGGCAGTTGCAGGTGTGGGGAAGTGTGTGGTTGAAAGAGACCAGCACTCATAGGTGCTTAAAAGGCGGAGGGAAGGTCCTCTGGAGCCAGGGGCAAGTGTGTGCGAGCTCACGCCCCTGCGCACTGCAGCTTCACACACAAGCAGCACTTGCCCACTCGTGGTGAGCTAATCCCCGCAATGGGATAAATCACAGCAAAGAGTGGAGGACTCTGGAAGTCGGGGTGAGGGCAGAGCACGGGGGACAGGCCACCAAGTTCGTGCGGCCTCACCCCCAGTGCCCAGAGCCACCCTGCCTTTGATGGCGCTGCTGCCTTCCCCTTCACCAGGCTCATCTTGCGCACTGGACACTTGCTTTGTTGGTCTGGGCATTCTCTGGGTAAACGCTGATTTCTACAGGGAGCAGCGAAGGGTCCCCGTGAGGACTGGCATGGGTCACCAAGGGCATGGGTCATCAAGGGAAAGCAGGCTAAAAGTGCAGCCCCCTGAGGGTCGAGACATCAGTCATCACCATTTCAACAATAAAATCCAAGCTCTGGGGCGGTACTGACCCGGTCTAACAAGTGGGAAGTTGCACCCTAGATACCAGGAAGTTGTTGCAGGTTTATTTCCGGCCGACGGGCTGTTTGGGTTGTGGAAGGCAGATAAGCACTGCATGGTCAACAAACTCCAGGGCTGCTCACTGCCGCCCTCAACTACCGTTCCCCAAATGACAAGTGTGTTATCAGACAGGCCAGTCTCTACCAAAGGAAGAGGATCGAGGTGTCACGAACAGGGAGGTGATGGCCAGCAGCCTCGCCTCACACAAGACCAGAACATAGTTTGAACTGGTTTCTCTGC